TTAAAAGAACACCGTCGGATCACGCAGCAAGTTCTTCAGATCTTAAGGGAACACAAACTTTATCTGAAACTGGAAAAGTGTGAGTTCGAGAAGGCAAAGATAGAATACCTCGGGATGATAGTAGAAAAAGGAGTTGTTTGCATGGACCCAGTCAAGATAGAAGGAGTCATCAATTGGCCACGGCCCGAGTGCAAACGAGATATTCAGGCATTCCTTGGATTTACCAACTTCTACCGAAGGTTCATCCGAGATTATGGCAAAATAGCAAAACCACTCAGTTCACTAACAGGCAATGCTACTTTCGAATGGATCATCAAACAAGAAGTAGCCTTCACAAGCCTGAAGGACGCTCTCTGCACAGTGCCAGTACTAGCCATACCCAATGACGACGATCCATACCGAGTAGAATGCGATGCCTTGGACTTTGCCGTAGGAGCAGAATTAGCCCAGAGACAAGATGGCAAATGGAAGCCTGTTGCTTACCTGTCTAAAGCCATGACAGCTGCCGAAAGAAATTACGAGATTTACGACAAGGAACTTCTCGCGATCATGACTAGTCTTGATGAGTGGCGTCAGTACCTCATGGGCGCCATATCCGTTTGAAATATGGACGGATTATAAGAATCTAGAATACTTCCGGAAGCTGCAGAAGCTCAACCGGTGGCAGGCCTGATGGGTAACCGAGTTAGCCAAATATCAGTACTCGTTGCATCACAAGCCTGGTAAATCTAACGGCAAAGCGGACGGACTATCTCGCCAAAAGAGGCACAATGCAGGAAAAGAAGACAATTCAGATATCGTGTTATTAAAGCCAGAACATTTTCGTGCCCTGATTTGTAGTACCATATTTAGTTTAGAAGGAATTGACCAGGACTGGATTGCGGGAATTAAAAAATATAAAAGGAACCAAGATTCGCTAGTTACCGTAGCTCTACAGAACAAGGACAAAGATTGGAATGAAGATAGTACCAGACTCGTGACATGGAGGAACCGTATTTACGTACCAGTAAATAGAAAACTCCGTGAGCAGATCATTGCTCATCACCATGATACCCCATTAGCTGGACACCCTGGCCAATACAAGACGCATGAAATGGTCACGCGTAACTACTGGTGGCCCCGAATTCAAGAAGATATCAGGAAGTACGTGGCCAGATGCGAGAAATGCCAGAAAACCAAGGTCCACACGACACGACCTACTGGACTTCTATTCCCGAACGAAATCCCTTTGCGACCCTGGGAAGTAATCTCTGTGGACAAGATAGGCGTATTACCAGACTCATTCGGGTACAATGCCATCCTCGTAATCGTCTTAAATGTACTCTAAGCAGATAATCACGATACCAAGTACCATTGAGCTCAACGCCGAAGAATGGGCAAAGGCACTTCGAGATAACGTAGTCGCACATCATGGATTACCCTGAAAGATCATCAGTGATAGGGGAACTGAATTCAAGAATCAGTTTATCTCCGAGTTATACTGATCCCTCGGAATCGAAGCCAATCCCTCAACCGCGTATCATCCTCAGACAGACGGACAAACGGAACGCATCAATCGCGAGATAGAACAATATCTCTGATTATCCATCAACTACCGACAAGCAGATTGGGCCAAATGGTTGCCACTCGCGGCCTTTTCATACAATAATAAAGTCCATTTGTCCACCGGGTATACTCCATTCTTCGTCAATAAAGGGTATCACCCTTATGAAGGAACCCAACCAGTGCAAGAAGGACTAAGTGAAAACGTCCAACAGTTTGTCGATAGAATGGATCGAGTACGTGAGGACACTAGTGCGGCTATCAGTCTAGCGCAGGAAACCATGAAGTGCTTCTACGACAGAAAGAGGAAGAGCAGACCAGAGTACAAAGTGGGGAATAAAGTTTGGCTAGAAGGAATAAACATCCGAACAGACAGGCCAATGAAAAAGCTCAACGATAAGCGATATGGACCCTTCAAGGTCAAGCGCAAAGTCGGTGCTTCCGCCTATGAGTTGGAACTCCCACGTCAATGGAAACAACACCCCGTTTTCAATAAAAGCCTCCTTAGCCCCTTCAAAGAACCCACGTATCCCTCACAGCGACGAGAACCAATAGTCCCTGACCTCGTAAATGGCAAGAAAGAATGGGAAGTCGAAGATATCCTTGACTCCCGTCATGATTGAAACGGAAACCTGGAGTATCAGGTGCTCTGGAAGAACAGCCCCCACAGCGATCGCTGCTCCTGGAAATCACAGGCGAACTTGACCAATTGTCAGGAACTCCTTCAGGAATTCCATGCTAGACGTCCTGACAAACCCGCACCCATGACGATTCGAATCCCCCCTCTATTAACACGACCTGTTCACATAGTCACGCGTGATACCACTCTTTTGATACAACGGATGGGTGGAATTCTCCCGAAGCAAGGATCTGAAGAATCAGCTGGGTTTGATCTTTACTCGGCTGAAAGCGTTAAGATACCAGCACGAGATCGCAAGATTGTTGGCACCGGCATAGCAATGTGTGCCCCTCACAGAACCTATGCGCGAATTGCGCCAAGAAGTGGGTTAGCAGTCAAAGGGATAGATATCGGTGCTGAAGTCGTAGACCGAGATTACACTGGAGAAGTGCGCGTAGTGTTGATCAATTCCACCAATCAACCCTTCCAGGTACGCGCCGGCGATCAGATCGCACAAGTCATTTTGGAACGCATTGCGTCATGCGATATCGAGGAGGTGTCGAGTTTAACAGAAACTCGACAAGGATCGGGAGGCTTTGGATCGACTGGTAAGTAATCATGAGGACACGATTCTAGATGGGGGGGGTAATGTCATGAATATTACATACTTCGGATGGTTCTCCCAGATTCCATAGTAGTCTTTCACTTTCTATATACCTCCGTATACTTGTAGGATATTCTAGATATTCAGTCTGACATGTATATAAGGAGCTCGTACTGCTCAATAACAAGCCAGACTCGAGCTGGTCTTTACTCACCCACTTTTCTCTCGTCTGTCTCCTCAGCCTTGTCGTAGCCCAGTCCAGTTGGATTGTAGGTTGCTGACAATTCATTAGCATTACGCCATTTGAATCACTCATATAACATCCGCAGTCGCTCGTATAAGAGCCTCATGACATGACAAGCGAGGACGAATATTGCACAGGATAGTCTACACACTAAACAAATCCGACGTTGAACTCTTCATTCGGGGTGATTTTCCTCCAGTGTGATGGCGATCTGCATCGTATTGTACGTCATGCGATACCTCGGGTAGACATTGTGTTCGAGGTATCGGGCTTGTGCACGGCGAGGTCTACTATTTGCCATCTTTCATGAATAGGTCGGGATTGAAGCACATGGGGTCTGAGTATACCGTGAATAGGCTTGGTCATTTGTCCAAGATCACTCCCTAGCGAAGCGTGAGTCAGTCGAGGCACTGGGCATGAAGGAAGAAGAGAGGTGCATCGGAAATGGTCCAACCCAAGAGAGCTTTCTGAGATGTAGCATCCACAATGGATGTCATCGGCCTTTGAGCAATGTGGAGTATTTGCGTGCCATTATGAAGACAGCGACACATCACGAAAACACCATACACTGAGATCCATCTCAGCGGCTCCTTCACGGTAGCATCAACCTGTCTGGCATATAAATACAAGCACGTGAATACACTGATAGGTCACAAGCTATGACGTAGAATCGCAATACTCGGTGCTCTACTCATTCCGACGTACATACGACTTCCACTGCTAACACCCTTAAAAATTATCCACAAATCCTGCCTTGCCAGCTTCGAACAGGGACTGGTCCTCGAACGAGAGTTGTGTCATCGACTTGCGCTTGAAGACGTACACCGGCCTCACCATTGTGAGCTCTGCATTGGGATGAAGCCAGTAGTCGACATTGGGCGTGATGGTGTCAAGCTCATGCCTTTCCAGAAACCCCCATCAAAACTCTGCGCATACCACAAGACAATTCGGAGCAAGTACTCACTCGGTATATAGGTGCTCTTCAATATCTAGGCAGTTCTCCCACCCAACGTGGCAGTGGCTGCAGAAGTACCATATCGCGTCAGGATGAGTCTTGAACGAGCGGTTAAAGTAGACTTCGGATGCCAGCGACTCGATCACCTTGATTGAAGAGACAATCTCTCCAGACATGACCTCCCAGTGCGCGTGCATGAGCTTGCGCGAGGCCGGCAGCGCGGCGTAGTCGACCGGCTTCACAAGGTCGTTCACAAGGTCGTGATAGACGTAGTGGTAGAGCTGTGGCTGTATGTCAGCAACATTCGAGAAGCCATCTGTGATGTGTGTGTACCGCATCCCGCCACTTCATGACCTGCCATTGCTCCTCCTCATAGCAGTCCTCGAGACAGGTCTTGCACCAGAACCGCACTTCGAGCGTGTTCATCTCCTCGCGCGTCGTTGTCATAGGATTCTTGCCTACTGCACGTATAACTTCGCATGCGCGGCGGTGCCATACACCGATGCGCAGGCTTTTTGCGCTCCACGACTTGTATCCCACGTCAGTCACGCTGGGCGGGTACGGAGTGGCCGTGCAGATCGCGCGCTCGACGGAGTCTTTGCCGTTCCACATGCTGCAGGGGCCCATGAGACAGCCGTGCGCGATCATGTGGGGTGGCAGTGGCGGGAGCAGGTTGTCGTTTTCCGCGTAGCTCTGGCAGGATTTGCAGTCGAACGCGACGCTTGTGAGTGAGAGCGGGTCGACGTTTGCGGGAAGCTTGTCCTTGTACTCCGGCGAGCCGAGCACAATCGCGCGGAGCTGTGCCTCGCATTCTTCGCGCCATCTCTGCGTCCAGTCTGGAAGGAGCTCGCGGAAGGGTTCGAAGGCTTCTCTGTCGACTTTGACCTCACTAGGCTGAACGACAATAGCGACAATTTCTGGGCGCCGTAGCAACTCTCCCGGGAGCGGAAGCGTCGCTTTGCCTGGCTGTTGAGAGAACCATTCGCGGTACAGTTCCACAAAAAGCCTACATCGTCTTGTGATGACGTCATGTTGTTCAAAAGCAAGGCGCAGCTGTCTGATGTGTTCCATATGCTTCTCTATTCGGGGTTGAATGTTCGTCCAAGCTGCATGTTCTACATCTTTAGTGGCCAGCAAACTGACATCTTACAGTAGACACTCACTCCATTCGGTCAACTCTTGAGGCTTTCACACGTCCGCATGCCCCTGGAGCGACTCGTATCTGGGTTTCATCTGATCAAGCTCCTCGCCCCAGCCAAGCTCTCTCAGCTTTTCAACAATTCTACCGGGCAGAGAGAATTAACCTTGCGCAGGCAAGCTACTCGAAAGCGCATACGTTTTTAGTCTTCGCGTTCTAGTATCCTCTGACTCTTGAGCATGGTCCCCAGCACAACGATACTGCCAGCTTTCGCAGCGTGCGGCGAACTGGGGAGTCACCAGATGAGAAACGCATAATGCGCAGGGAAATGCATCAGGAAAAAAAGTCTGAGACCAGAAGCGCCCCGTGAGCTCCGTAGTTCCAGCAGCTTGGTGGAACTGACTCCTATTACCCTGCAACCAGTAGTCTCCCGCCATGTCTCCGTAGCACCCGTGGCAGCCTGCATAAGTTTGGCAACACACTGTGGCAGCCTGCAAACATTCAGCAGCACACCGTGGCACTGTCGCAGCCTGCCTGTAGATACCAGCAGATGGCGTCCCGGGCTTTGCACACTCACTCACAGGGAATAGATTGACAGAAGAAATATATTAGGCACATAACTGTACAGTACATGTTGGTGTATACTACACTAGAGTCATTCTGCTGTGGTAGGGGATAGACACAAGAGGTAAATCTATAATGTATAGAGTCAGAATAGTACTATATGATCTGCGGGGGCATTACTCACCTAAGTCTTAAAACCGCTAGGCATCCAGCGCAGGAAACAGCGCAGGACATGCGGCTGGTAATCTCGGATGCGCAACCCGTTAACCGCCCTTCTTGCGATACCCGTGCAGCAGCGACAGGCTCGCTATGAGGCACGTCGCGGGCGGCTCACAATATGCCCCGCGTAGCTGCAGGTGCTCGTGGTTGTGCTTGTGCTGGAGATTTCGAGGGTGCGTTCGAGCGCAACGCGCACCCGGTGCTCGCGTGAAAGCTAGACAGGACCACTGCGGAGGTGTGTAAGTGTAAGAACATGGCATACCCTGAAATGCACGACATGGGGTGGAGGTGTATGGCAGTGGGAGGTGGATTTAGCGGATCTTCCATTGCCTGATGCGAGCCCAACTTATCAATATCAAGATTATATGACATAATGAACTCACCGATCACCGCTGCCTGTAATCTGTGAGACACCGCATCCTCCGTTGAGAAAAGGAAGATAGCGGTGAAGGGCTGCGCCGCCCTCAACAGCTGCGGGTATCCTAGCAGCAACGCGGTCATC